TTCACGTTGGACGGGATCGTGACCTAAATGCTAAATGTGTCGCGCCAGCCCACTCGACCTCGCCTCCACGCTGCTTTAGCGCCTCAATGGATGCGTGGCATCAGCCAAAAAAATAAAAATCTCCCAAACATCCATCTCTCCTGTCACCCTCCAAATTAACATGGAAATTGCTGCTTTGCATTCTGGGACGAGGGGAACAGAGATTTAAACACCTTCTTTTCACCCCTTGCCTCTGCTCGCTCTCGGGGGCCCGGGGCCCCTTTTTCTGCCGACCCGGGGGGCGTTCCAGCCATGACACCTACCCAGTGAATGAGTGAGGTGATTAATGGCTTAAGGGAGGAATGAAGAGAGGACTGGAGGATAGAGGGGACATGGGGAGGATAAAACGTGCTGGCTGCTGAAGGTCGGCAATGTAAATCTTGTCATGGCCAAACTGTGTGAAAGACCTACAGTACATTTTCATATGTTAATAGTGATGCCACTGATTGTGTGAACTGGTATGACTGTAACACATTTGCTCTTGTGTGTGAAGCATTTTACTTGCCGCATGCAAATGTTTTTTTTTTTACAAAAACAGTTTTTGACTGCTGAACCCCATCGCCTTAGAGAAAGAATTGAACGTAGCTGGGGGGAAATGATCGTGACTATGTGGGGCCCCTGCAGGTCGGACAGGGTTGCATGGAAAAGATCAAGTTGATCTCCGGTCTCACTCGTCATTCACACGTTAGTGAATGAAGTGGAAGCAGTCGAGTAGTGAGACCCGTTGAACGAAACCTGGACAAAGGAAACAGCAGTTTCTTCATACCCCAGTTCGTTCCATAGCCGAGAACCATGAGAACTCACTCATCCCAATTCTCCGATGACCTGGGAGCTGATTGTCCAGCATTATTTCAGCCAATGACAATTTAGTGTTTCGTAGACCGGTCGTGGTTCTGCAGCAGGTTATTACCGATACATCTGACGGACGCGAGCGTCATGCTGTTTGTCTTATTGTCTGCATTTTGTCTGTGAGAATCTCTGTGGGTTTCCCATTCCAGACTCGGCTTCCAACAGAAAACCAACAGCAGCCCTAGTGAGGGATCCACAGTGAGTGTTTGCTGAATGCAATTTATCCCGTTGAGGTCAGGCAGCTGCTTTTCACCACCCAGTGATCCTTCTTTGTGGTTAGCCACATCCACAGTGTCCGCCATAAACACGCTAACACTGTAAAACGTTGCAGCTGGGAAATGGTTAGAAATAATGCATTTTCTGGTGTAGTAGTGTAAAGGGGTGCACATATGCAATGATAAAAATCACAGTGATGATTTTTAGAATGATTACGATCATAGCCGCTGAGGTTACGGATACTGTATTTTTGTCTGCGGTTGTAATGTGACATGGGAAAGTTCAAGACGAGTGAACACGAGTCACACGCAGAGAGAAAATACGCAGAAATAAATAATTTAACAAGTTGTTTTGAGTCACAGGTCTGGCCTTTAAACGGACATCAAGAAGAAAACCAGCAATAAAAGAAAACCGTAAGAAATCCCAGTTACAGCGTGCAGGAAATGCAACTTTCTATTTTAAGTACAAAAATAAACTTGAGGGGTTTGGTTCACTTCACTTTGGGCAAAATTTAACTTAAATACACTGCAGTTGGTTAGATCGAAGCGTGTACTTGGCTAGAATGAAATAGTCAACGTTCAAACCTTAATCCCACTGAGAATCTGTGAAAAACAATTTCAACTTATTTTTGCATAAAAATGTGACTGAGTTTTACCGTTTTGGGCAGGAATGTAAGTCTCTAGAAGCTGGTAGAGAAGCTCCCAGTGAAAGGTGTTTGAATGAAGCGCTGACTCAGGTGGGCCGAATGCAAATGCATGCCACACTTTTTAGATTTTTTACAATTATTTGCTAATCTATATTGGTCCGTCACATAAAATTACAAGAACATGCTTGCAATGCGCTGTTAAAGTTCTTAATTTCGTCAAATTACAGCAGCGCTCTGTAATTATTCTGCACACCGGCTGCTGTATCCACAAAACAAAGACTCAGAGCGACTGACAAAGCAAATGCGCGCCGCACTTTTCAGACATTTGTCCCGCGTCGGCTCAGCTTAGGCCTGACGGCGACGCTGTGAGGGGGGTTTTACAAGTCACTGCCTGTTGATCACTCGATCACAGAGCTCTAACCAAACAACCAGACCCGGGGTTGTTTGCGTGTGGGTGTGTGTGTGTGTGAGCATGTCGAGGGCACAGCGAGCATCACAGACCCCCCATGGGGGTACGCCGCGCCTCGCTGGAGGTGAAGGGAGCACGCGGTATCCTCTCAGAGCAGAACGTTCCACCAATTTCATGCTCCTCAGTGTGCGCAGCTCTCATCCACATGCAATGCAGCGTAGAGTCAGACTGAGGCAGCGTGTGTGTGCAACGAGCAAGCAGAACGTCAGCAGTAACACAGTTTTGTTGTCTTTTTTAGATAGATCTTGCTGCTGCTGGAAAGTGTAAAGCGCTTAGTTTGTAAATGGAGCTGATGAAGCAGCTTTAAGCTGCTGCTTAGTGAGCAGTAGAACAGGCAGCAGCATTCGGCCTTCCTCCCTCAGTGAGCAGGTTGGTCTACTGTCTGTAGTTCAGCTGGATTTAGATCAGCTAAATGGGCAGAATCATGTAAAATTTACTGTTTTTGAGCTTGACATCATGTTTTAATGCTTTTGCCTTGTCAAAAACGTGCCTGGAGCGTTGCCTTGATACTTTCAATCATGTTTGAGAAATCCCTTAATCTCTTGTCCTGTGCAATTATGGATCTTGTCTTGTGCATTTGTGAATTACTAACAGAGCAACAGTCTTTTCCACCGTCCCACCGCATGATTCTGTTTGACGCGAAATTTAGCAACCTGGGTTCGGTTGGTAGCTAAAGGAACAAGACTTTCCACCAAGCTCAACTTTCAATTCAACAAACTGAATGCTGCCCAGTTTCAGCAGGCGAATGGCACAGAGTCAGATTGTGAGTTCGACTGGTTGGTTGTCCAAAGGACACAACCAGACACAATGGAGTTAGGAACGTTAATCTCAGAGGACTAAATTACCACAAACAAGATTGACAGTCTGGCAGCACTCAAGGGTCCAGCTGGTCATTTTGACTGTGACTTGATGAGGAAGTCGAGCGAGCGGCGTCTCCCTGCTGTCGCGGAGAATGAGCAGCTCAGGAAGTGAAGGGGAGAAAAAAAAAACAACACTGAATCATCCCAAAGCCATGAACAATATCTGTTTATTTATAAAATATCTTCTGTTTCCCACATGATTGCTGACACTGACTCAGGTACTTTAGTCCTCTAAAATTCAGGTACCAGGGTATCTAGAGGAAGTCCAAAGAACCTAAAAAGGTCAGAAAATGTGAACATACGGGCTCGGCCATGTCTTCTCACCAACATGAATGTTTTATCTTCCTTTAAGACTTTCTTATTCACACTAAACTGGCTTGATTGTTTTGGTTAAGGATGTGGTGTACATTTCTGCCCCACTGTGTTTTGGGGCAGAAATGAGAGGAGGACCGCTCACATAGATAAGAAGCAAGCGAGGATGCTTCATTGTTAGCACATATGGTAGTTTATGCTTTTTGTACTATTACAATGTTTTTCTAACGGTCTCTAATACCTAGCCTCGTAAAAACCGCCCTGTCGAGAACTGACTCTTAAATTTGGTGGCAGGCTGAATGGCTTCGTTCACTTCCAAACTCTACGACTACACTGGTAAAACGGCACGGAAAATCGACATTGTCGCTCACAACTCCTCCGCCTGTTCGCTGATTGGTCTGGAGGAAATTCAGCCAGAGAAATTGAGCTCAATGGGAGAAATCCTAGATGGGGCACTGATGAGAAATGAGAATTGAGGGGAATTGGGCAGGGAAGCAATCAGACAACTGGATGGAGAATGCATCTGAGAGAATAGCATCGCTTGTACTGTCCATCCATGCTTTCTGCTGAATTTCATTCCTTCTTTGATGATGTTCTTAGACAGGTGGCCCCGTTTGGTTCTCCAAATGTTGTCCTGGTGTCCTCACACCCACCCAGCGGTCTGTCCTCAGTAGGGGACAGTCTTGGGACTTGCTTGAACCCTTTCCCAGATTCAGGGCGTGTACAGCTTAAAAGAAGAACATGCCCTCAAATCTTGATCAGCAAATGTATTTTTATTGTACATTTACAAAACAACAAGAGTACAAAAAGTCAGCCCACAGACATTTGTTTTTTGTTTGTTTCAGAAGGAGAATAAGAAAATGTATTTTCAGAACTGCAGCAGCCAAGTCTCTCGGATGTAAAAAGGGGAAGGGTTGAGTTGGCGGTCGTTCAAGACGGGGGTACAATCAAACTTTCATAAAGCCTGTCAGTCAGCCAGCACAGCGCTGCAGAGAAACCAAAGGAATCATAGAGAAGTGTGACATTCGTAACGGACACCCAGGACGCAGGGATCCCGACAGGGAGGCGCTCGGGGCAACAGGCGTCGCTCCGGGTCGTTTTTGGCTTTTCCAACTCCTCTCCTCAACCAGCAAACACACTTTGTGCTTCTTATTTTCTGTTGTTTTGCCATGACAACAAGAGTGCAACAGTAGTTAATGCTTTACCCTAAAAGTTTACATATTGACAAAAAGAAAAAAAGTTGGCACATTCAAGAAAACGTTTTCCATGATAACACTTTTTTTTTTTTAGATTTTTTTTGTTTGATCATCATAAATACAATATACGTCTCTCTCCTTGTATCCAGAGCTCACAAAAGAACATTACAGACAGGTATTTACAAAGTAAGGAAAATGAATGAACTCAAAATCATAAATAATTATAGTAATACCAAAAGTCCGGGTTTTTTTTTACTCATTTCACAGCAGTAAGTGTAGCTTGATGAGAACTGGTAGCTTCTCCTCGTCTTCAGTCCGGTGTGTCGGTGGTGAAAAGATGGGGAGGGCCGATGGAGGCATCGCAGGTATCCTGACAGCTTCACTGAGCTCCTTATCTCATTTCCTAGAAGTAATAAAAACATACAATGTTTTTTTTTAATTATTTTTTTTTTTTTTTTTTTTTTTTTACGGGCGATGTAAAGCTTCATCGCTTCATCTTGATCAGCCAGGTATGCTGCTGAGTGCTCCACTTACGGGCTCATTTCTCTTTTCTTTCACTTTATGCAAAGATTTTAAAAATGCTCCCTGACATTTAAATTAAGAAAAACAATTCATTCGCTTTAAATAAATATACATAAAAGTGTATTGCTAAGGATCTATTCTTTGTGGTTTTATTTTTAGTAAAAAAAAAAAAAACATCTTAAAATTGGTTGCGTTTTAGTACTTCACAAAATTAACATAAAGAGTTATCAGGGAGGCGTCTAACTCTGCCATTTAAATTCAAAATTTAAATGTCAGAATGGATGATTAGTGCCAGATTTCAGACTTGTGGCTCTTTAGAAAAGACATTTGTTCCCATGTCTGGATTCAAAAGTAATGTTTTTATCTGGAAATTTGTACTGTGAGAAAGAGGTCAGGAAAAATGTGTGTCAGGTAACAACGCGGAGACCTAACAGACCGGTACCATCCCGATCTGAACCCACCGGACGTCTCAATGCTGATACGGCATCCTAAAAACGTCCTTTTCTTGGTTGCTAACAAACAGCTACATTTTCTGCGACAGAAATCTAAAACAATATAGTTTGTTGAGCTCTGTTGTGTTACATGTCACACAAAAAAGTCTGTGTCAGAAATGTCAAAATTCCGATTTTAAAAGCTTTGAAAAAGCCTGTTATGATTAATTTTGTTGCGTTAAAGTTAGCGTTTATTCATCTCTTGTGATAAAAGCTAGTGTCAGCTAATTTTAGTTAGCATTGTCAATGTTAGTATATTTCCTAAATCTGTCAAAAAATTCTAACAGCGATTTTTTTTTAAACAAAGTGTTACCATCGCTATATTCTGGAGTATATTTCAGTGGAAAATACATGTTTTTCGAATTTTGTAAGATTGTCTGACTCTTTCCCTGAATTTTCTTCGGAACATGTGCTTTGAAATAATTATCGGCATTATTGATGTTAAAAAAATGGGTTGTGTGAAACGGGAAAAAAATGCAAGTCAGGAACTGGAGAAAATGCTACATTATTTCATTAACATTTTAATAGAAAATGTTCCATCTGCCCCATCTAGGACCATCTATGTTGGTCCTAGACTGACCTTAAAGGTTAAAGGGCATCAGAAAGCAGTCAGACACCCCCACCCCTCACGAGGAAGAAGGAGCCTAATCCAGGCTTCTTGCACAAACAACTCAAACGTTGCGGGGGGCAGGGACATGCTTTCATGTCCATGGGAAGGTGTAAAAAGCCCAGAGAGGGTCGTCCGGGAGCATCTGGGGGGTCGGGTGGGGGTGGTCCCTGCTGCCCTGTTGATGGGTAGAAAAAGATACAGGATAGCTCTGTATGTGTGGTCATGGTTGCCACTTTTACAGGTCAGCTTTGTCTGTTCGCCTGACCCCTGACAGACTACACTGTCAGGGGTCAGGGGTTTTAGACCTGCACAAAACCGTACTGTGACACCTTGGGTTACAGCTTCAAAAAGAACAAATAAAGCACAACGATGCAGCGAGGAGAAGGAAGTGCTATAAAAATGAAACCACAGATATGTTCCAAATTTTAGGATACAACCTTTTTTATTTTTAAAATGGCAACAAAAAAAAAATGAATAAAATAGCAAATGTTCATGTTTTTTATTTGCATATAGTACATTGGGTAAAATAATAATCAATGACAAAAGAGTTTTATTTCCTTTCTTTTTCTCTTTGTTCCTATTCTTGAATGAAGACGTAGAAATTGAATTTCAGAGACGATTAAGCCTCGTAATGTTGTGGATTAAGCTGTAGCCAGACCGGCTTTCACCATCTACCTACTGTCACGTCTGACACAGTAAGTATTGTCTGTGCAGCTCAGAGTCCCTGCAGAGCTTTCCATTCCACTGGCGCAGCTTCCTCCGCCATAAAAGACACCGTCTCGTCACCGGAGCGCCCGCAGGGGGTGCATTTGAAGGAGCGCTCCCACGGAGAAGTGTGCCCTCTGAAGAGCACTCCAAATGGAGTGGTGGGCGTGTGCACTTAATCGTTTCCTACTGTAAAGCTTAGTGAGTAGAAAGTAATGCAAGATCTGCGAACCCAAGAGTGTGTGCGTGTGTGTACGAGTGTAACACTGTTTTTATTTTTGATTTACGTTTGTGTTGTTTACAAGTCGAGCAGAGATCTGATGTTTTCTACCTCGTTGTGTTTCCTGGCTGAGCTGAGGCCCCGAGAGCCGGTGGAGCCTCTGGAAGAGGAGCTGCCCGTGGTCGAGCAGTTACCCGACATCTGACTCCTGGAGAGGTAGCCGCTCTTACTGCTGTACACCACCACTTCCTCATCTGGTGGGGCAAAACAAAGACAAGACACAGAAACACAATGAAGGCTCCTGGTGAAAGATGCTTTAAAAAAAAAAAAGAATAAAATGTCATGTATCCTGTGTCAGCAGTGGTGAGCACAGTTCCGCTAAAGCGCTAACAGCAGAGCTAGTATTTGTATCTAGCGCCTTTTGCTAACACCTTAGCCTGCTTAGCTTCCCCCGTGTTCATTTTTCCGGAAACATTTGTGGCTTTCGGACTGAATAAAGTTTGACATTTGTGTTGAAGTTTTGGTTATTGACTGTTATAAATTTGTCAAGCAGTTTGATATTTATATTCACACACTTATTTTGAAACGGGAGAAAACGGTCTATGCAGCAGTTCCTTTGCGTTCTTCACCTGTGACGTGAAAGGCGTGTTCAAAAGAACACAAACATACAACAACTTGGTATGTTTGTGTCATTGACTTTACATTTGGACTATCAGTATGGAGGAAGTTGGTGCTTTAGCATCTACTAAATACTTTATTGGTGTAGCTCTTTAGAGCTAGCATAGCTAGCGCTTATGATTAGAGTTTAATGATTAGCACAGCTAAGTTTTTAGCTAGCGGTGCCCACCTCTGTGTTTCACTAACACATTTTAAGCATAACGATATCTGACTTGCTACTACTTTACCAGCTAGCTTCAGTTAGCTTCAGCTAGCTTCAGTTAGCTTCAGCTAGCTTCAGTTAGCTTCAGCTAGCTTCAGTTAGCTTCAGCTAGCTTCAGTTAGCTTCAGCTAGCTTCAGTTAGCTTCAGCTAGCTTCAGTTAGCTTCAGCTAGCTTGTAAAGTTGAGCTACTTTACCAGCTAGTAAAGTAGCCAATGACTGAACACCTGCATATTTCAGATACTCAGCAGCAATTTATGGATCACTGAACATGTTTTTACAGCCAACATCTTGCAACGTAACTGCTGAAGAGTCATTCAGAAAGAATGACACAGCAAAGTTGGTCTCACTTTACTCCCATGTGGAGGAGAAACACTGCAGTGCAGTAGCAGAGCATGACGCAGCGCTGTCTGCTATGGACCCTGTTTACCAACTGGACCCCCTGGAGACCGGTTCTGTTTGGAAGCGGGTCCCTCTAACCGTACGTGACGTGACGAGCTGCAAACGCTTCTTCTCACTGTCTGCGTGTTTGTGTCCCGAGCCTTTCCGCTGGTGGCTGTTGCTGCTGTACTCGCTCCTCTCCAGGGAGGACAGGGCGCTGTTTGCCAAGCTGCTGGTCTCCACACAGCCCTGGGGGCCCTGAAGCCTGTCCTCCTCTGGGGGGGGCTCCGGAGGTGGCGGGAGGTCTGAAAAACACAAAATGAGGAATATAAAAGAAGGAACACAAACCCCCCAAAAAAAACACAACGCTTAAGCCGTAATAAATAAATTCCTTCTAGTTTGCAAAGGCTGCCAGGCTAATTATAGTGTCTGTTATATAACAGCTGTATTTGCTTTCAAAAGAATACTTGGCTACAGTTCATTTAATTGCCTCACATTTAGAGAGCAAGAACATGGCAGAGCGCTTACGGCTCGGTTCTCATTTGGAAAATGAGTGAATTTGAAGGAGCAAAAACATTCTGCTTGTTAAAACAAAGAGCTCTGATTGTGACTCTCAGGCAGCCGGCCGCGTGTTTACTGTTCAGGATATGGCCACTCGGGCCTCTGCCGGTTCTCGCATCATTTCTGGGGTTTAAGCCGTAATTTATTTATTACGGCTTAAACGCTAGAAATGTTTGCGTATTTCACAGAGATCAATACATGGTCTCTGCACGTGTGAAATGTCTAAGTAGGATCTCTGACCTCCTGCCCTGCAGGCTACTGTGGTTTTCAGTGATACAACATTTCCTTTGCAAACACTTCCTGAATGCGAGAACATGTGAATAGAGAACAGCGGGTTTCTGAATGTTTTTCACCTCCTTGAATGTCTCTTCTGTACGCTGAGGTCTTGGACGCCTTTTTCTTCACTCTGGACTTTTGGTTGGGAGGAGTGCAGGTTTCTGCTGGAGAGGAGCGGCTGTGCACTGTGGCAGAAAGACGCGTTTTATGGAAGTCGCAGGCAGAAGCTGCTGAATGTCTGCGCGTGCGTGACCCCGGCGGTGCCGGCGGCGGCTTTACCAGGCGTAGTTGCGCCGTCCTCATTCACTGTCGGCGCCTGGCCGTGAAGGCAGCAGTGGGCGGGACTTTGGAAGTGCAGCGTGCCAGCCTCTGTTGAGCCGAGAAGCTGTTGGCCGCAGAGGCTGGGGTTGGACTGGGTGAGTGGCGGGCTTGGTGCCTGGGGAACTGGAACTGGACCGCAGGGTAACCTTCTGCTGTGGGATGGGAGGGCAACATGTCACTGACTGAGGCTGAGCTTTTAGGAAGTGGGGTTTGCAATGAAAGAATGTGGACAGTTTAGAATCTGCAGAATTATTCGTTGTCTGTTTTCTCCCATAATGACTGGGCATATCAATTTTCTTGTATCGATTGCATTGAGATATCGATTGTTTTGACAACCCTGATGTATACCTCAAACTTGAAATAACGTCACTGCTTTTACGCCGTCTGCGATTAAGTATTAAATACACGTCATGTTTTGTTTACAATTTCTCACACTGTTCCAAACTTTCTGCTTCTGTTTTTGTCTTTACTCTGTTTGTATTTTGCTTCACAAACCCGAGATAATGTGAAAACACCAAAGCTGAAGACTCAGCGTTTTGTTTCCATTCCCCCTCCCCCTACATAAATCCACTTCTTTATCAGCGCTTGCACTGTTTTGCTATGAATTTGGCAACTTTCCCTGAGCAGAATAGTCAACACTACATCAAATCCCCCGGTATAAACCGATCAAGATTTTGTTCAGAAAAAATTCTCACAGAAATCCAAGCAGACACAAGCAAACAACATGATCTTGTAGTGCATCTAGCAACAGCGTGCCCGTGAGAAATAAAACTGTCCTTTCTTTTAGTTTGTCCAAAGTTGTTCCCATTCAAGGCAGAGAAAGCATCAAACATCAGCTGCAACAAAATATGGAAAGTAGTTTCTGTAATATTCTGAAATATTTCAATCAAAAATGTCATTATGGAATATTCGGACAAAACTTTCTATGCATTATGCAATGAAATACCTCTCTTACAAAACTGGTTCTTTTTGCACAGCGGTGTTTGCAGTTTTCAATTATATATCTCCACTGTGAGGTGAAAATGGTCCTTTTCTGTCCTCTTGTCACCCATTCGGTTTGCGGCAGGAAGTCGTGGTTTAAATTTGGAGGTGAGGAAAACTGACAAACTTCAAGCAAATAAAACAATTTTTTAAAAAAAAAATCCAACTGCTCACAGCTGCATGTTTGCTCTGGCTTAGAATTATTGATATTTGCCTTGTGAATCAGACGTTGAGAAGAGTTTCATCTCAGTACTGCGCATAATGCATTGGTGCAAATTGACCTAGCATCAAGTTAGTGTACAGCTCAACATTGTGGAACAGCAGCGCTCGTGCAGTTTTTATTCTCTCTGTTAATGTTAAGTTTTAACACCAAACTTTAAGACAGCAATGATCAGCATGATGGGGAAAAAACCTCCTAAATTTAGACCACTCAGGAACTTTGAGACGAGTGGGCATCTGAATGCAATTAATGTGTCGCTATGATGCGTTGGTGTACTTTATTAAATCTTCCAGGCGCATGGTGACATTTTATAGCACAGGTATTACCTTCAGTTGTTATGAAAATGCTGTAGCTATTGAAAATCTGAGGACTTCAGCTCCAAGGTGGAGTTTCAGGTAAATACTGCCTGGGTCAGCGCTTAGGCACCTCTGAGTGGCTGCCATGGGAGATTCAAATGTCCTTCAAACATGCATGAGTCGAAGCAACTCTCCATTTTATGTCTTTGATTATGGAATAGTCTGACAACTTGGTATGAAGGTAAAACCAAAGAAAAATAAATGAGCTATGGGTGGGGGTGTTCCCATTTAAAAACACATTGTGACTTTTCTCTGAAACATGAAGTCTGGTTCGCGCACCGTGCCAGCTGCTGGTCAGCGGGGGCTCTGGCTTCCTCGTGGGGTGAAGGAGTCAGGGTCGCGGTGGACTGGTGGCTGTAGGAGGTGGCTGGCGAGGACGTGACGGTCCTCTGAGGGGGAGCGGGGCCGTCCTCGCAGCCTTCCATCAGGTACGTCCTCTCAGGAAGGGGCGGGCACCACTCCTCGTCCGACCTGCGGGCGACACAAAGGCTTCGTGCAGCATGTCGCAGCTCCGGCCGGACTCCTCGGTTCAGGAATACACTGACACAGAGCCGCTTGTTTGCTCTTTGGTTCCTTCAGATTCAGCAAGCCGTGAGGCTCCTTAAAGATTAATGATGTTCTTTCAGGCTCGACTCGAGTTAGCCATTGGCAGAACTGCAGGGGGCTAAGCTTCGTCTAGGGTGGCACTGCTGCTCAGCGAGTGATAAGAAAGATGCTTTGCTTTGAGGTTAAAGAGAGCCAGTGCTAAGGAGAAAAACAGCTAAATGACTTAGGCGATTGGCCGAGGCTGAGATAATCGGGTTGTTGAGGCCAGAGGCAAAAAAAACTAAACAATTCTGGGTTCAATACTCCATGTGCCTGGCAGAGCTGAGGCTGAATCTAAGCGATGGTCCAGCTGGGTAATTGGTAAACCTGTTTGTCTGAGAGAATCAGAAGTCTGCCTCACCCCATGTCCATGGCGTCATGCTGGAGCTGGCCGTCCAGCTCACACTGGTCCAGCTCGCCAACTGGTGGAGGCGGGGGCAAAGCCTCCATCCACGTCAGAGACGGGGTCTTCACCGCCTTCCCCATGGCCTTCTGCTTGGGCTTACCTTCTCATCCAGAACAGAAAAGAAAACCTTTTTCAAACAAAGCGCTGAGAAAATGAGTCACCCCACCATGGGCAGATATTCCTGTAGCATCCCACCTCCAGGATATAAATAGAGGCAGTTAATTTAGTTTGCATCAGGGCTTACGCTAATGATCGCTTTAGTAATCGATTACTCAAACGATTATTCTGGGTGATAAAAGACTTGCCATATTCTGCAGATGTTTTATTTTACCACTAAAGACTTTTTAAATAAAATATGGATGTACAAAGATATACAAATTATCAAGTAATTTAATTCCCTTTTTTCAATAAGAAAGTAACATATTTTATGTTTTATGTATTTACAACATGTAATATATTAAAAATGTATTGGGAAAGTAATATGTTAGAACATACAACAACATATTTCCAGTAGTACATCGGAAATTATATTTTATATTTGCCTTCCGTAGCGGAATTGCATTTTATTTGGGTTTTTCCTTTACATTTACATTAAGACCAAATCAAACTCAAGCCGTCTTACCAGCGCAGCGATCCGGCTGCGCGTACTGAGCAGGCTGGGACGGGCCGGGCTGGTGGATCCACTGCCCTTCGTCCTGCTGCTCCCCACTAAACGCTGCCCCCTGTGGCTGACTGGAGAAGGGCATGATGGAGGTGGTGGCGTAGGGGGTGGTGGAGACGTTCTGGCCGTAGGTGAAGCTGTGCAGGTCCTCGCTGGTGGCGTCGATGGTGCTGTAGATGGGACCCTCCGTGGAGCCCCCCATGCTGCACTTCTCCGTCTGATTCAGGTAGTTGGAGATCCCAGCTTCTGTGTGAGGGCGGAGTTTGTTCTCAGCAAAAGGTCGGTCGCTTCCCTTCAAGCGCGAGGTGACGGCTCCCCTACCGTTGTAGTATCTCTCAGCCGCGTTGTGATTGGCCGTGCAGCAGTTGACGGCCTCCTTGCTGCTGTGGACCAGGTTGGTGGTGGGCCAGGAGTCTGCCAGCCACGGGTAGTTGCCCATGTTGCCCCCCAACACGCCAGGCCTGCAGAGACATTACGGGTTCACCGGCAGCAGGATGCACAGGCTAACAGAGAGCAAACTATTCTGGAAGAACGTTTTCAGACACGAGGAGAACTGATCACACGAGATTCTTTAAAAAGAAGCAATTTGAGTTACCGTCCAGTGAGTCCTGACGCCTCAGCATGAGGGAACCCCACTGCAACAAGACGGAGAGAAAATAAGGTTTAGGGGGAGCAGGGTGACCGATGCACCACACTAAGAACACAACATAGAATACTCCACACATTCTCTTCTATGTTGAATAGGAAGGAAGAAGTGAATGAAGGGATGGAGGGATGACTGAAAGAAAGGGGAGAATGACATAAGGAAAGAATGAAGGACAGAACTATAGAGCTTCTACGAAATAGAAATAACATCTAGAAATAAAAGTATTATTGAGCCATTGTTTTCTTTTAATCCACCCAGATTATCACAAAGTCCATTTTTATTTTTTTTACCTCAGATAAATATCACTCCTCAAAACCTAATTCCATTTCCTGTGCCTCTGGCAGCAATACGAAATCCTCTCACACAGGTAATTCCTGCGGCTTCTTTCATAAAGCGCCCGCTCAGACATCAGACAGACAGGCGGCAGCAGACTCCCACGTGTCCCCGACCATCCTGACCTGCCGGTGTGTAGGCGAAGGACGCCGTGTAGTGGCTCAGCTCCTTCCTCTTCTTGCGGCGGCAGTAGATCCACAGGCTGAAGCCCATGAGGATGACCCAGCAGGCGCCGCCGATGCCCGCGATGAACGCCGGCTGCTTGACCACGTCGGTGATCTGCTCGGCCAGGCTCACGCTGCCCTCTTCGCCGCTCCCGCCGCCGCCTGAGGCAGTGGGCTCTTCAGCTGGCAGCTCTGCGGGAACAAACACAGACGTGACGACGGCTGGATAGCACATTGTATAAACCAGGCAGCAAGATTTAAACGGGCTGAGATTGTTTGACCTCACATTTCTTATGGTCTCACTTTTGGTACATCACTGACATGTGATCACATAACCAGCTAAAATCACTCATTCATCTCAATCGGAATAACAGTCTTGCTGTGTGAACTGGGCCCAGGCCACAAAGCACAACATTGTTTTCCTCCTTAAGCTAAATTTCCTGGAAGTGTGGAAGAAACTCACTGATGAGAACAGACACCGGATGACTGCGAGTGCCGACGCCAGCGCCCGTCACGGCCGCCACCTCCACCTGGTAGAGCACGCCGGGAACGAGGCCCTTCAGCACCGTGGACTGCGTGGCCCCGTCCACCGTCCGGTTGAGGTAGTAGCGCGTCTGGTTATCGCCGCCGCTGCCCACGCACCAAACCTGTTGGGACGCACTGCTTTTTATGCTCACACTGAAACAGCTGCTGACTGATTTGAAGAAGCCTTTTTTGCTGTTTTTTTTTGTTTTTGTTTTTTCTCCAAAATGGAGGAGATTTTACCCGGGTGGGACGTGTTTACCCGGTACTCCTGGATGATGCCGTTCTGCATGTCGCTGGGTGGAGGCTCCCAGGTGACGCTGATGCTGGAACTGTTGTTGAGCTTCGCTGTTGCCACTGTAACTCCCCTGGGCGGCGCACTGGGGACTGTGAGAGGAGGCTGATGTTTTATCGTTTAATCAAAAGGAACGGACTACTGGTGAAGCCATGTAGAGAACTACATTAAGCTCCACGTTTGTTTTGGCAGACTTGGGACTCAGGCAGGTCGATCCAGAGTCTGCTGAATTTTGCACCAACCAATAAAAAACCCCGGGCTGCATAAGTCAGTGAATGGGGGAAGAATTTAATGAAACTACGGATCAATAGAAACAAACTTAAACTGCAGAATAAGATAATATGGAGATCTGAAAGACCCTTAAAGCCCTGCAGCCTCACAGAGTCCACTGCGCTGATCGGTGAGAGCAACAGATTACCTTCTTCTCGAGTTCGGATCAGCAGCGTTCGGCTGTCCTTGCCCTGGAATTCGTCGAAGTACGGACGGATTTTTATGTCGTACTCAGTTCCTTTGAGCATGCCGGTGAGGACGGTGCTGCGCTCTGAGGGTGAGTTGATGTCCTGGAGGAGCCAGGTTCCCCCGCTGGGGCGGTAGAACAGCCGGTAGCCCTGGACGTACGGAGACTGGCGGTCCACCTAAACACCAACCACACCTGGGTCAGCTAAGGGAGACACAGAGTGGAAGCGAAGAAGAAGGGAACTGCGCGAGTCACTCACTGTCCAGGACACTCGGACGGAGGTCGTAGTGAGCATGACGGGGTCCTGCAGCTGGACGGCCACCTCTCCCAGCTCTCGCTGCACCTGCCGGTGGTCCACCCCTTGACCTGTGGGACTGACGTCCTGCGTCCTGACCGGCTCAGAGATGGGGCTGGGGTCGCTCAGGCCGTAGGCATTGACCGCTCGGACGATGAACAGGTAGACGGTGTTGGGGAGAAGGCCTGTGATGGTGTGTGTTTCCATCTTCACCATGTCTGCTACAGTCTGCCATGTGCTGCCTGCTGATTGACTGTGTGGGGATTAAAGGGAAGTTAGAAGTGCTTACTTTATGAAGGAAGCATCACTTGATGCCCTGGGGCAATAAAGTCCATGGATTACAGAGTAACGTCCACTGGCATTTCAGTACTAAATGTAATATACAAAAAAACCAGGCAGTTTATGATGGACAGAGTGTGTGAACAAGAGTTCTCAAGTCTTGCCACACATCCTTAAAGGAGTTTCGGTGTGGACTTTGACTGGGCCATTGTCCCTCAGCAATATGCATTTGTGTTCCAACATGTTGCAAAAGTGCGATAAAATTGATCAATGCTTCTGTCAGCAGGAGTTAGAAGGAGACAGATATGGAGGAACAGGAGAACCAAGTTCTATTTTACTTTTGCTTTTTCTGGTGCGTCTCCAAACGGAGCTTCTTCCCCATCTGCTCCTGACTGACGTTTGTAGTTGTGGCGTAGAAGTACAAAATGTGCAGCTCATCATATTGCGTTCAGGAGTGGCGTTCGTTTTACAGTAACAACAATAACTAATCAAAATATTTCAGGGTGGTTCAAGGGCCTTTTTGGGATCCTTCTTCTCAGATGTACGATACGTGTGACCCAGATTTGACCCGATGCAACTTCCTGTGTCAGTGAGTACTGGACCGTTGCTTGTAGTGATGGAAGGATGTCAACAGGAAATGAGGGCTTGCTCTGGATTATGTGGCCCTCCCCCAATGGAGGTGCTTCCTTTCTGCTGGACCCTGCGAAATTATTCCAACTATATAACAACTATTGAACACCAAGCAGGAAAATTACTCATGAGAACACCTGCAGGAGGCCCTTTCAACTAGAATTTGTAAAACTCACACAAGGTCGGAGTAGAGATACAGTCTCAATAGGAAAAAAAAAAAAAAAAAAAAGCTTAAAATATAATCTTGAAGATCAAAATTTGAGCGGTTCACCTCGGCAACTGAGGGAATGAAATTTCACCGTGAAAAAGCCCCGCATTGGTTCCTTCAATAGGTTTTTCTGAAGAATCAGTTTGCATCACTCGCTGCCACGGAGGACATCTGCATCTGATTAATCTCAGCCAGAGTTCCCTCTGCATCGAGCTGGAAGGATTTATTTTCCCTTGAAGCGTCTCCCTGTGTGGTGGTCGCCCCTCCCCACCTCGCTGAGTTTAATATAGTTGTAATTTATCCCGGGTGGACGACATCTCAGGTGATCCTGAGTACTCAGCACTTCAAAAAACCAAATTAACCCAGTGACTGGTGAAACAGGATAACCTGACATCAACATTTTTAATTGTCTGACTGGCTTAGTCACAGCTTTGTGGCAGAAGATTGTCAGTGTACTTATTCTCCTGTGAGTGAGCTAAAGGTTTTTAATACAGCCTTTCTTTAAATAAAAGAATCACTCCTCTGGTATCGAGATGACATTCTCTTATTCCTTCACCATTAGCTATTGATGTAAAGGAGTTTAAGCATCCGTCAGAATCAATTTCGACTTCATTAATGTCTCTGGAAGTACCGGAACCCAAAGATCAGAAACAGCATCCTGAATTGAACAGGAAATGCACAAAAAAAAAAAAAAAAAAAAAACTCACCTAAAGGCCTCAATGATGTAGGAGGTGACAGCAGCTCCGCCCTCGTGAGCGTTGGGTTGCCAGGTCAGAGAGACGCTGTTCTTGGACACGTCTGTGACGATGGGCTTGTGGGGCGGACCCGGCAGCTGGAAGGGCTCGGTGGCCTGAGCGGCCGACGTGTCGGCGCTCTCTGCGCGGCGGAGGGAAAGAGCCGTCAGAGAAACCGTCTCCAGGACGTTTACACGATGCGGCTCCAAGGAAGAAGAGGAGCTTCGCTCTTACAGCTTTTACAATCAGTCTAGCATTCGACTGCAATTGCCTCACTAGAAACTTCAGCTTGACCTTACGCTGTTTCTCTCTCTTCCTGTGCCAGTTGTGAAGTTTCCTCAACCAGAAATATTCCATGTCCTGAAGAGTTACAACAGAAAGCCAGCAGACTCTCTGAGCTGAAACAATAGCTGCTCACTGCCTCACCGGTGCAGCCATCAGCATGTTTCCAGCCTGGTTACAGAATCCCATCAGCGTTATTCTTCACATTGCTGCACATTTACACACAGACTGCCGGAAAATGTCCCCAAGGCTGCATGGGTTAATGATATACTTTGACATTTGCTCAATTCAACAGTTTTTTTTTCCTTAAACCAACAGCACACGTGACCAAATCACTGAACACGGTGCAAATGGTGACGCTTTCCTCTTCATCAGGAGTTTTCATTTTGGAGAATTTCTTTTTCTTTTAAATTCAGACAATCCAGAACCAGAGAGAGTGGATGATTCAATTAAGCATCCAACAAATGCTTAATATATTGAAAATCCATTCAATAAATTAGAATATTATTTAACAGATCATTTATTTTAGAAACTTTACCACCAAAAAAGACGTTAGAATAACTCCACTCAGATGAGTGTACAGCGCAGAAAATCTGCACAATTCACAACTTCTCCTTCTCTTCGCTGATGTGATATTTTTGACAGCCACAGAAGAAATTGTCTTGATTTTATCCTGGTTTTATTAAACCAGAATTCAAAGTACATATGGGAAAAAAAAAACTTATTTTGTGTGCATTTTTATCATCATCCCAACTTTTTTTCAGTTTTTCTTTCCATTTACGGTTGAACAATATTTCTGTGTTTGCATACTGCCTGGGGGGGGGAGCAGTCATTTGCATGTAATTAAATCACACAGAGACAATTTACCTTTGACTGTGAGCACGCCACTCCAGCTCGTCTCTCCGCTGGAGCTGGAAGCCAGGCAGGTGTAAACTCCAGAATCCGTTTCCTGGCAACCACCAAATTGTGCATCATTAGTTTGGTGCGCTTGCGTGCGCGAGAGAGAGCGCGTGATGGTGTGTTAATGCATCCATTACAAGTGATTGGGACTAAATGTCATATCTCTCCAACCAGAATGTTTGTGCTCAGAATGCTGAGCAGCAGGACGTTGGCTGGGATTGAAAAGCCAACACAACAGAGGGCTGATAACAACTTCACCTCTGGATCCCTTTCACAGCTCGGTTAAAAAATAAAAAAAAAAGCCTTTTCGATATTGTTTTCCAAAGCCGTCTGGCTCCCATTAATCCCAACACGTTTAATAAGTACACCTGAAATGGGACTTCAAGAGTCATCACCATGTTTCAGCTCTGGTTTCATTTGATAGAATTAGCTCAGTTGTTGCAGGTGTGAAACACAAAAGGTCGGATCACCTGTTTTGAATCAAAAATAAGCACAAAAACACGTAGCGATGAGGCTTCATAAAAAAAAAAAAAAAACATTTCAAAAAACAACGAGATTTATTTCAAATGAAACGAACATGGAGATGGAACAGAAAGGAAAAATTAACAGAGGGAAAGGTTTAAAGGGAAAGAATAATAAGAATAGAGAAGGGAAAGAAAAATAAAAAGAATGCAAGAGAAACCCAAAACAAAACTGAGAAACCATAGAAATACAAAACAGTAACAAATAGAACATCACCGAAACACCAAAATGCCTTAGTCTGAAAAGAGAGAAGTGGATTTAGTGAGGAGTAGATTTGTAATCAGACTCTTTCACCTGAAATCCCAATAAACCACCTAAAACAAAAACCAAAACAGGTATTATTAACTTGAGACAGTAGATGATTAAAGTGAAGACATCTTACGAGTAAAACTTACAAACTCTTATATTATCTCTGTAGGGAAAATAAATCTGAAAGCAGTATTAAATGTTTTTTTATAAATATATATTTTATCTGTATATATGGAGAAAGACTTGAAAGGTTTTTTTTATTTATGATTATTTTTTAAACAAACAAACAAAAAAACACTTCTTATAATCAATCACTTCTAACCATATTTGAACATTTCCCACCTAAATAAACAAGCTGTTTCAATTAACCGATTCGACTTTGGAGATTTTGTCAATCGTAGTTATTTCAGTGTTGCCGTAATTGAAATATTCTCAGCGGCCCCATTTGAAGTCAAAGCTGAAGTCAAGCTTGTGGCTTTTATGTTCCTCGTCTGATTCCTTCACACCAGAGGCGGAGAGCTGCAGGGGGGATCAAAGGACTGAATTTTAATGACCAGGGAGAGGTCTTGAGATTTCTGAGGCTCCCGTCTTTTTCTGCTCAACAGCTACTTGGTATTCTGGACAGGGCTGTCGTAATTAAGAGGTGTGTGATAAATGCGCTGTGTCTGTGTGTGAATGGTGGCTATTAAATATTTGGGGGGGCAAGCCAAGCGCTAGACGGTCTGTGAAATTGCTTGCAACTCGGGGAATGTTGGGGAAAACTCTTAGTGGGACTGAGAGGTAAGCAGTGACTCACGATGTGCAGCACCTCCGACCGGTTTTCTGAAGCTTCATCGTGTTGCTTCAGGGGTCTGGTTCATTTATACCCCCCCATATAGACTATTTACCTGCAGCTTGGAATTTAAAATCCAGCCAAATAACGGCAAACTGGCGAATGTCCTGGAGAAACAACAGAGAGAGGAGATAACGGAAACCTCCACTCCACACAATCCAATCCAATGCAGCGTCACCGAAGAGATTTTTGCACGAGTGTCACTGTCATTTGCATGAAAAAGCACATGAGAAATGAGATAAGGTAAACTAAATTTACTGGAGTGTCAACAGGACAGGTGAATAAAGAAACGAGTCATATCCAAATAAATTCCTATTCATGTGTCACCGTACAGAATCTGTCGACCAACAAAGCCGAGACACTAAAGACGTGTCACAACTCTAAAACACCCCTCATATGCACTGGAGATACTGACTTTCTACAGGTGCTGTGTGTGACGATACCACAAAATATGCAGACTAGTTTTGTAGTATCGTATGCAGACACTTTGTCTGTACTGATGAAGATTTAACCACCTCAGAATGCGAAATGACTGGAGTATTTCTAACCTGTCAGTTTCCAGCTCAAACTACTTTCTGGTGTAGATTAAAAATTATGAACGTGGATTTAATGTAAAAACAAAACATTGAGTAGTCAGTGTGACTGGAAAGACACAATGGATGGACAGACAGATAGCTCAACAAACAGGTGCATAGACAGGTGCAATACTTTTTTTGGTACTGTAACATATGTGGCAAGACAGGAAGAAGCATCACAGGTCGAATTTAACAAATTGAGCAAATGAATGCGAATGGAAAACATTGCATACAACAGACTACTTTAGAAAGGCACTGTTGTTGACAACAAGCAACGAGCAATTAGTGTGTTTTCTGGTTACGGACCGCGTTCGGTGAGACGTTGGAGTAGAAGCATGTCCTTGATATTGAGATCTCTCACCAAAACACACAGACTCATGTTGAGGGAGGAGGTGTTTTGAATGTGTTATTAAGCAGTGGCTTGTTGGCCCTGCAGATGCTTCCCAGCTGTCCAGAGCGCTTTGTGTTTAAGTGGGGAAAGGCGGCCTCGTTGGGTTTAGCCATCAACTGTTACGGTCCTGTTTGTTCATCATTCTGCAAAGCAGAACCCACAAACACCATCAGCTTTCACTTACGAACTCGCAGGCAGTTTTCCTCCCACTGCAAACCTTATACATTATGCAGAATATGTGCGCAGCACAGCCCATCATGACTAATGAGTCAGTGATCACAGCCCTCTCTTCTCCTGGATCTGTGGGCCAGCTCATCAGTAACAGTGACAGAGGAATTACTCAGGTCTAAGTGGCTTGTCAGGCTGTCCTGCAGAACGGGGGACAGGTTATTCCCACTCCCCCTCTACACGGCAGATCCCTCGCTCTTCCTCCTTTCCTCCTCCCCCCTTTCCTCCTGAGGAGGAGCTGATGTTGAGTTGACCTGGGAGGCAGCCGATGGTGCGCCGTTCCCCGAAATGGGAAAAAGCAGATCCCCAGATGGTCGTGTTTGATCGGTGGTGGGCTGGCGGGGTGAGCTGCCAAGACACCTGACTGTGAACGAAGGCTGGCAGCCACGGGAGCTGAATGAAACAGATTGTAGGAAAATGGGAAGAAGCAACAGGAAAAGGAGGGAGGAGAGCTGAACAGGCCCACACTTGAGAACGAGCATGCGAAAATGCTTCTATTTAAGATTTTGTTCACACTTTTGGGGGGGCTTTTAGGTCTTCTACCCTCACTGTCCGGCTGCCAGCCCTCTGTTCTGCAGCTCATAGAGGCCTGGTCATATTATCAGCTCATCTTTTGTTGAGTGCAGAAGGAAAACCTGATTACGGCCAGTAAGATACGCGAAGCGGGGTTTAAAGACAACTTGTGAACACAATTTCCATCTGTAACCCAATCACTCCCCATCTTAATCTGTTTACTTGTCCCCCATGTAGAGCTTCTGGTTCTCCCCAGGCTTTGTTTGTCTTCCACACCTTGCATTACCGATCCCCATCCTGTACCCCATGCCAGCATTAACCATTTAACAACAACACACACACGCGCACACACACACACACACACTTGCGCTCAAACACACACAAACAATCCCAGTCTACCTTGGCACCAGTGTGAGGGAGAGCAGAAGTGTGTGTCTGGCAGAAGTCCCAGGATAATGGCATCTCGTCTTTGCCAGGGTACAAGGAGCAAACGCACCATCTGTCCCACTGCAGGGGCCATGATCCAATCAACTTATTTATACCCGCTATTTAAGGGGTAAATGTTGGGTTGATTTCATGGTTGTCTTTAGGTTTGTATCACATGCTGCTGTCTTTGACGGTTCCTACAGGCATCATAGGCATATTTGGACCAAATGAGGTACGCTTCTATTGAGTTCCAGCTAATGCACAGATGTCTAATATGTACAAAAAACAAGCATGCTTAAATTTGCTTGTTGTTATCGGCCATCAGACTTGGAGTCTAAAATCTCCTTGCTAGAGCTTCCTTCCAGATATTATGATATCACGCAGCGTAATATCAGTAAATATTGCCTCATAAAAGCAACAGCAGTATCAGACAATCATTTCAGCCCAAATTTTCATATTGGTGCACTTGTAGTGTTTTTAAATAAGCTAATAACGTGCCTACAAAGCGCCAACTAGAAATACATAGAACACGTTTTAGTGTTTTATAATTATTATTATTTCCAGCTGTTGCAAGACTTTTGTAATTTTCCACATCATAATTATGCCTTGTGTGTGTATCATACAAAATCTCAATAAAACACATTGGTGCATGTTGACTCTCTGATAAGTGGGTCCTTTTTGACCCGGTAAGATAATGGTTATGCAACCGAATGATAAAATTTTACGCAGCAAGAACTTATACAAATAATTCCATCCATCTTCTGACACCCTTGGACTCTGCAACATTGTGAATGGCAATAGTTGAGCATCAAAATATGAAATTCACCGGGGCGAATAACATAAAAGAATGAATGCTGTCTGCTTGTTTAATAGGTTTGCCGCCCTCTAGAGTAAATATCTGTTTTTAGGCAAACTTTGCTCCATCGTTCCTCCTTTGACATATTTCATGTTTGGTCGTGTAGGTTGTATATCCTCTAGGTCAACACGATTAACAAGAAATCCAGCTGACCTGCACCGGACACGGTCAAAATGTCTGCTGAGCTAGACTTTCTGTTTGGACTCAAATAAGAGGATCAGTGTCTGGAATGGACTCACGGGTAAACATTTGGTCTTTTATCTGAAACTTTCTTCTTTTTTTTCTTTTCTTTCTTTTCTTCCTCATCACATTGAATCAAATTCTGCAGCTGAGCTGTCAATCCGAAAGGATTTTGGAAACGGAGCACTCCCAGTACCTCTTCTCTCTACATGCCGAGTGAGATTATCGTACTAAAGAAAGCTGTGCTCAGACTCCCAGCTACTTCTGCCCCCGGTCCTCTCCTTTCAGTCGGCCTCCTGCCTGCCCTGCTCCTGCACCTCCTCTCTCCCCCCAACTCACTCAGTCACTCCTCGCTTGCACTGATGCATTGAGGATTTAATTACCAGTCTCAGAGATCGTTACTCATTGAGAACCCACAATCAATTAATGCGTGAGCCTCTTCCAAGCTCGTCAAGGCTGCAGTGACCTCAGGTGCTGCGTTGCACGCAGGAGGGAATTCTGGGCAGAATGGATTTAATTAGCAGAGAGTCAGATGGTGTTAACGACCGTTAATGGCCTTCCACGCTCATTATCATGGCGATCGCACGCCGTCGTTCTCCACCTCCTCTCTACTTTTAAACACACACCATAACGCTGTACAGGTCACAGACTCCGGTTCCACCAGGTGAAATATGTTCATGTTGTATATATTAAGTACATTACTCAGACCGTGGACACGGGTTATTAGGTTCGGGGCGTAACAGGATGAGATAAAAGTTTGAAGTGGGCAGCTGAGTGGGAGCGCTGCTGTCTCACCTGGAGGCGGGTGATCTGAAAGGTGCCGTTTTCCATCAGGCTGACTCGCCCGTCGTTTCCCAGAATCCTCTGGCCATCCTTCTCCCATTGAATGCTGGGGATGGGGTTGCCCAAGACGTGGCAGTGCAGCTGAGCGGTCGAACCGGGAGCCAGAGTGTGATTGCCTGGCCCCTGTCGGATGATGGGAGGGACCCTGTCTGAGGGAGCTGAAGGGACAGGAAACAGCAAAGCAATTCAAGAGTTAGAGACAAAATGCTAATGTCTAGTTTTTCTTTTTGGATTATTGACATCTATTTAAATTGTTGATTGGCATCGCATTCCCCCCCGGCCCCCCTCGTTGATATCTTTTCCAGTTTGGTCATCACATAGTCTGCAGTTTGAATGGACAATGTCTCACCGGAAAATCTGCTGGTGAGATGAATCGATCGATTCTAAGCTTGACCTGCCCTGATCGGCAACTGGTTGGTCCAAAACAAAAAACAGAGTCAACCTTTTTCTACTGAGCGAATGCAAGGTTCTGATAGGCAAAGTTGCATGGATCTCATTACTCGTAGAAAAGGCAGGGTTAGACTCAAAGTCAGCTATTTTCAGTATCAGTGAGATATGAGGTGGGACTCGACTGCGCAACACAGAACAATGAATATGTTACATGTACAACTGTGGAACTTTGACATGGCTGCAAAAATAAGTAAAACTGCAAATCAGGAACCCTATTTGCTGTTAAATTATTGAACAATTAGACATAAGAGCTGAACAACAGACACTTACTGTTACTTATATGTTACTTATGTTGTTCAATCATCAGATTGGCGCAAAGTGCTATTACGCCCATACGGCTTTCAAGTGTTTCAGAAATCCCTGATCAATCATGGAACTTAATTGAAAAAAATTTGTCTTCGGAAATGTCGATTGTGGACGCTGACATCAGCATTAGTGACGTATGTGCTGTTGTAGCATGCTTAGCATCAAGGTGCTATTTTAGAATTGAATAACTTTGCTGATAGGCTAGCTTCTTTTAGCATGACATGAACACAACAATAGTCTTTTCCAGCGTCCAGTCAGATTGTTTTCTGAAGCTTAAATTAACTCAAAACGGGCCAAGAGAAACCTGGATGTCGTCCATCCAGGTTGTTTGTCGATCCCACTTGTGCGTCAGATTTACTGACGTACAAGAAACGGACAAATACAAAGGTTCGGGTTGGAACTTTTGCATCAATATTTAAATTTGCATTAACATTTTTTAATGCCTTTATAGAGCAGTAAGAAGCTATTTATCTATTTATAAGGAGGGTGCACCTTTTGTTTCTCAATTGTGCTGCAGGAGAGTGAGAGAAAGCAAAACCTTCAACAGAAAGAAGAAAGATGGCTGAATAGAAAACAGTCAAGTTTCTTTTTTTCTATTTTTGTAGATTCTATTAGTCTGTGTCTATCAAACAACATGTTGAAACTGGAAATTGTTGTCAGCCTTTCTTGAATGTTCTTGTAATATAAGAACTTAAAATTACTAACACAAACTGCTACTTTTGTAATGCTACGATACAAGGTGAGCTTGGTAAAACCTATTTTAAAATAGCACATCCTGTTTTACAGACTGCAATCGTCTTCTACTATAAATAAGTTATGACCACTCACAGCTTGAAGGCTGGCGAAACAAGTATTTGGATACAGCTGAAATCCGTATCTGGCTTTGCTGAAAACCTCACAGACAAAGAGATCTGAAAATCATCTCCACTCATTACTGTCCAAAGACTAAAATCGAACCTTTCCTCTTTGGCTTCCACTTGTGTCTGTGTATTCTGCCAAGTGACACGTAAAATGTTCAAACTGAAGAACTTCTACTCCCGAAGGCTCTCGGGTCCAACCTATCTGGTGTTTTGCTCCATTTTTAAAATGCAAATCAATGGCATAGATTTTTTCTTTTTTTGTTTTTGTTTTTTTGTTTAATCAGGCAGGACAATGTTGCTTTACCTATGAGAGCAACAGACCCCTCTGCGCAATGCAGAACAATGAATATGTTACTTGTACAACTGTGGAACTTTGAAATTCTGTAAAAGTCACGCGCTTCAGGACTTTTACAGAAGTCCTGAAGCGCAATCCCTGCTGTATTTAACTTCTGCTGAATGCATGTGAAAATCGGTTTCTTAAAGCTATAAATTATGATCAATCTTTAAAACAAGTATGCCTCCTACTGTTTGGTACTCTATGTTTAGTTTGTCATCGGTGAACAGATCTGCTTGACGTCAAAGAATACTAGATTGTGTTTGCAATCCAAGCAAAACAGAGCAAAACATTTTGCAGTCATTTTGCTCTTCAGATGGACGCCAGTCATTTAAAATGAAACTGTGCCTGCAAGATAAACAAAAAACAGTTCACAGTTGTTTATATATATAATTGTCTTCCAGAGACCAACCTATAGCTCAAGAACCTTTTTTGGACAGTCGTACTGTAGGCAATACGCGCGCCTTTCTAATATAAAACTGCAGCTACTATCCATGAAGATTGTAAATAGATTTCCTAAAGAGGAAGCTGGCTGGACGCTTCAATAAGTTCTGGGACATAAAAGCCAGACTCGTTCACCCGACTGACTGCAGTTTCCACCCAAAAGCCTTTTTTGTCAAACATAAAAACTGAAGCAGAAGTGGAATGAGAAAGCAGAGCCACACCAGACCGGCTCAGCGGCATAAATTCCCCCAAGTGTTGCAGGGCGAGTTAAAGACTGTGTCTAATGTGTTTTGCATGGAGGTAAGTCATGCTTTCATAGCCGCTGACGCGCAGTCACTGTGCAAAATTAGAGCACCTACTTCACACTGCGTTTAACATTCGCTTAAAGACGTGGACCACAACATCATTAGCATTCTGTGCCGAGTCGAGATCCGATATCATCAGCTAACTGGAGTCAAACTGGAAATGTGAAAAGTCAACAGAGGGCTTGCTGGGGAGTGGAGGAGGGGGTTACTGCAGATGGAGCTGAACAAAATCCCAGCTGATTGGGAGCGATGCAGAGAGGGAAGCATATGTTGCAGTCGAGTTATTTGCATAAAACTATCAGCAGTTGTCCCCTTTGATTACATCAGATTAGAGAAGAGATTGGAGAAGGAGGATATTTTCTGTGGAGATGGATATGAGAGTGTTTTTCATAATTCAGGAAGCTAATTTTAACGTCGTAGCGTGTGTAAACTGTAAATAAAACAAAAAATTAAAAAAACCTGAACACAAGCCTGCTGTGAAAGTGCGGGAAAAAAAAAAAAAAAACAAGGGAGGAATCAAAGCATAATTTCATTGAAAATGCAGCAAACTTCCGACTCTTAATACGAGTCGCTCTGTGCTCGGACTCACCACTTTCCACCTCCAGCAGGGCTTTCGTGAGGATGCTGCCGGCCACGCTGATGGCCTGGCAGATGTAGTAGCCAGAGTCTTCCACTTGCACGTCGGCGATGGTGAGCTCGCCGCTCAGAGACACAGAGAAACGACTTGCCTGAGAAGGCTCCTGGATGGGGAACAGCAGGATCTGGAGCAGAAGAACAAGCGGCGGCGTTCCTTGTGTCAAACGGTCGGCACTTACAAAAAGGATCTCTGGCTGGTGCCTGTCGACTAACAGAATGGTGTAAAGACACACCAGGAATTCAAATAACAACAGTGTTTCTCCTCTCGTTCTGTTAGAAGGGCTATAAAAACTCATCTTAAAATCATACTTGCACAGGAAAATGTCAGTCTAATTTCAGATGTCTGTCCGTATTAAAATTAGGGTAATTTGCAGAACTACAGCAGAAACATTTTGGGTCATGTGATCAACAACAGGATGTTACTACTGCCGAAAAAGACAAAGAAAACAACAGGAAGTGGTAGGAGAATGATGCGGCAGAATGTGTTTTTTTTTTTTTTAATGACTTATCACATGAACAAACATGTCCACATGTGATTTCAATTGTGTTTCCTAATTAATGTTTGTGCCGTTTCCTAATCAAAATGTGCTTTTTCAACGTCATTGGATTATGTAATATGTTTTGGAAAAGCATGTCATGTATCTGCACCATGATAAAACAGCGAGGTGGTTTTTGGTGATCTTCCATCACCCCCGACAGACACGTTCTCAACATTTCTGGAAAATATGAAGTAAGTTAATGAAAGGTTCTGGAAAGTAATAAAAAAAAAAAAGTTCTTCAAGAACAACCAAACTTTTCTTGAATTAAATTCAGTTTAATCGAATGCAAGTGGAAGCTCACGAAGACTAAAACGAGACTGAAAATTGCTTTCACAATGCACATTATGCACGTAGTTAAGTATAATTTTCTATACAACCAGATGTTTTTCAGATGTGCTGCGCTCAGTGTGGATCGCGGCGAAACCTGGTCAGCAGCGTCCGAGGTGAGCAAGGCTGAGCCGCCACAGGCCGCTTCAACGTGACGTGCAAACGCCACTCCAGACTCCAGAACCCTCTCCAACCTCATTCCCAGCACGCTTCCCACATACTCTCTCTCTCTCTCCTCCCCGTTCTTTCCTCCTTATGCTTTCTCCTCTTTATCTCTGTCCTCCACACCTTCTCTCCCACACACATTTTTCAGGCCTCCTCCAATCTCGTCCGCCCTCCCCTATAATCTATACCTGGAAGCCACACTGCGGGCTCCCACGCACTCTCGCTCTCGTCGTCTCTGAGCATTCCAACAGGCTGCAACGCTTATCACACTCTCACCCATTCAAACACACACACACACACACACGCATATATGCTTCTGAAGACATGCAGGCCTGTGCAGACTCACGCTTTGGTGAACAATGCACCGGGCGGATGATGAGAAGGCGAAGTGTGTGCGCGCCGTGTGTGAGTTAGAGTGGCTCTAATCTGCGGCAGGTAGCTACAGACGACGAGAGGCAGAGAGGAACCGGAGTGTGTCGAGTGGTCTGGGTTTCGGGAAAACCGTCCTGCGACAGGGGTTTAATTAAATGCGCCTCACAGATTTTTTATTTTTATTATCCGTTTTTCTTTGTTTTAGTCGGACTTGAATGTTTGAAATCGTCAAATAATTTTAATATCACACAAATATGAGTTCAGGATAAGAAAAGCGCAGCGTTCAAACGATGGTAATATTTTACTAAAGAAAGCAAAGGTGCCCAAAACACTCTGGTTATATGTGGAAAAAGTCAACACTGCCAGACCGTCAGAACCAAGAACTCACCTTTCTGGCAGCATGAAGAAGCTAAAAGATGTATATCAACGAAATAACATCAATGCACTGAAAAAAGTAGACATATGAGCTCAACGACAGTTTTTAATCTGTTAAAACTATATACATATAATATTAATATCCATCCAAGACATCTACATACTTGAATGGGATTTGAAAACAGGACATTGCTGCTGCAGGTTAACCAGCTGTGCCAGCATGCAGCCATTGATGGATTAAAAATTCAGTTTCTTCCGCTGAGGATTGTCATGCCCCGAATAAAAGCCATTCTTTTATTCGTAAATAAAAGAATGGCTTTTATTTACGTACAGCGTAAATAAAAGACGACTCCAGAGTTGTTCCACAATTCACGGCTGGCTCTTTGTTGGGTTTTTATAGAACCTGCATCAGCCCAGATCTCGCAGTAAGGCCCCTTTGTAGCTCAGATCGGTGACGTACAATCACCGATCTGAGCTCCGTTAACGGCCGCCCGCCTCTCTGCTGCTCAGACTCAGTCTCCATGCAGCTCCAGTCAGTCTCATTGTGCCGGAGAGCTCCTGCTAAATGCCTCAGAGGGCAGATTTATTCAGAACAGAAGGGGTTGTAGTGTCCTAACAGGCACGTTCTCACCTGGCTGCCTTCTTTTTGCCAGAAGACTGCAGGCGGAGGGTTCCCCTTAGTGCCACAGAGGAAGGTCACGGTCCGACCCGGAGCTGTGATCTGGTCCCTCGGCCGGACGACGATCTGAGGAGGAACTGCGGGGAAAGAAACACAGACAGAAGGGCAAATTTAAGAGCGGAAATCTTTCCCTGGTGTCATATCAACAATCTGCATGTCATATTTATATCCCAGCAGTGAGGCTGAGTGGATGAGCTGACGACTATTAACTGACAACTCTGTCACACAGGAAGAGCACAGACTGTCAGAGTCAACACAAGAGGAACAAAACTGCCACCCAGAACCCAGCACCATGCTTGCTGGACTGCCAGGGACTGGCTTGGTGTAGTTCTTCTGCTACAGTTCACGAACCAATTCAAAATGAAAAAAAAAAAAATCCAACTGATTCAAGTCATCCTGGACGATGCAACAAATAAAATAAGAATTTAAAAAGCTCAAACTTTGTAGATTTGTGCAGGTGTTTGCATCACGGTTATTCCGTCTCATTGCTGCTAAACCCATAACATAAAGAATTAGCACGGTTATTTCAGTTACTTCAATGGAAGAGAACTTCAGCAAGGACAAAGCCTCAACGCAATCAGGAACTTTTGAAAACTTTTAACGGAGTCTGGTAAAAAGTTCACCCCTGAGCCCATTGTTTTGTACAGTACTGACTGTGGTGAATTACAGGTACGACTAAATCAGACCGAATGTGATTGAATCTGCCCGTACGATTTAATCACACAGACAAATTTAAAGACAAGATTGTATTGTGATGAACCCAAGTCATCAACTCGCATATTGGTATGTATTTCAATCCGATTTTGATCCGTTTGTGCCGTGAAGCCTATTTTATGCTGCGCAGGAACTGAAATGCTGAAATGACTGACTGGATATTTTCTGCCGACAGGGGACGACGCTGTTCGTATTCACGGCTCCGCCTGCGAGCCACGATTTAGCCTCTGCTGCGGAAAAGTGAAAAGACGAGCTCAGGCGTCCCGGCGTCTGAATCCGGGTTTGTGGGTCACCTCTGCGATGAGGCTAATCAGACGTCTTTGAACTGGTGTCAGGCAGGAGGAGAAAAGGGGGCTGCAGATAAATGGCAGGCGTTCTCACTTTTTTTCTCCTGCTTGCATGTAAAGGTGTGTGTGCGCTCACATGCACAAAGACACACACACACACACACACCTCTTTGATTTGTATTGATTCTGTAGCAAAGTGACAGGCCTTCCTCCGCAGAGGGGGTGTGAATGCATAATGATGCCCTCCAACAGTCCTAATTGATTTCTCATCTTCCCACCTGATCTCCTGCTTCTCTTTCATTCTCACCCTCGATTAGCATAGAAGCGCACAGAAAGCTTGGACGACAGGAAGGAGGAGAGCCATTCAGCAGTAGAATGTGCAGTCAGAGTCTTGGGGAGAGAACAAACACGTTCCCGCTGCTAGCTTCTTATTTGGACGGGTAATTTGGAAAAAGAGAACCACTCTTAATTGCGGGACCGAAACTCCCGAGTCCCAAATGTTTGCAGATGAAGCAAACATGAAACGGCGTTTTCTTCAAACGCCCCATTCCAGCGATTGATGTTCAAAGAGGAGAAAACCAAAAACATGAGCGGGGCCACATCACTGACCCACAAAAGTTGGGCTTTTGCCTTTGATTGTTCCTTCAGTGTGTTCAAACTATGTGCAAAATCGGGCTGGCGTGAGGTAAGCCCGATATGGCCGCTCTTCCTCTTCCCATCTGCACATTTCAGAGAGATGGAGGGGCTGGGAGGGAAGGGGGGGGGCACAGTTTGGAAAACCAGAATAGTCAAAATTTTGCCTTTCATTAGAACAATAAATGGGAAAAAGAAAGAAAAATAAAAAGTCAGGAAGCCGGCAAGTGCTCAAGGCAGATTGATGTAAAGAATTAAGATTTTCTATCACCAACTTGCTTATTCTCCTCGATTACTCTCAGGCACAAACCAGACACAAATTTTAGGACTCAACCTGGAGGCTACAGGCGGGGACCCATGTGTCCAGAGGGGCATAAATCCCAGATCAGCAGCAGGGGGGGGCATTGCTTGGCTGAGCTGGTGAGGGTCATGTCCTGGGGTCAAAAAGACAGCTCCCTGTTGACCCTAAAGGTCCCCGTTGGCTTCATGTGGACATGAGAAAGTGATCTCGCCTTCACTCCCTCACTAATTCAGCGACCAGCTTCCTGTACAGCCTGATGCAAAGCTCTGAAATATTAAAGAAATGCAGAGTAATACCCATTCCTTATGGAAATCATCTCCAGGCTACTTCATACGCCTATAGATGTACATGTGTATGAAAAAGCAACAGAAGAACATTAAAGCTCTGGGCTTTGAAGGCCATTTAAGGAAAACCTCCACAAAAAAAATAACATAAAAATAAGCATTTCTTTCTCCTTCATACAAAACTACACTTTGTCGAACATTTAAAGACGGTGCAGAATTAACACGCTGCTCTGGCTGCACCGCACAGTGCCTGTCTGCAGAATGACAATGTTTGATTGGAGGAGGCAGGCTGGCGCGTCGCCGGAGGCTCCAATAAATAATTAGCAATAATGGGTGCACTCGGCACGACACTGTGCCTCAGATTTAGGGCAGCGAGGAACATTAGCATCCGCACTTGGGACTGGAAAGGGGGAGGATATAGATCGCAAACAGAGTCGCTGAAATATACATGACAGGAATCAGCAAACATTGTCTGCGTGTCACTTGTGGAGTTATTTAAGAGTCAGCCCTGCAGGCTCTTCGGTGCACCAGTGGCTCCTCTTCAGCAGGCTCCTATCGAGGACGGCGAAATTACTGTTATGCAAAATAACACATGAAATATCAGCTCCGTGTCAGCCAAGCGAGTGCTAAATGCAAAGGGAGAGACAAAGAAAAGCGTTTTGATTGAGTCGGGAGGCTTGTTTTTTTTTTTTTTTAGAAAAGCCCCGTTGCCACAATTGTCGAACATGTGGAGGGGCTGTCACGCCAAGAGTGAGGCGAAAAATAGACATGGGCTGCATGTTGGATTTCCACAGCATTCCAGACAAGAACTGTCAGTTCAAGAGAGGGAAACCTGGTTGGAGCGGGAATCTCTCGGTTACTTTGAAACGTCTGCGTTTCAGGCACATACGCACCAAATCCCGGTCTAACTCCAGAACAGTTACGAAAATAGTCGGTGGGCCACTGCTGTAATTATGTTGTTGTTGTTTTTTGTTTTTTGTTCTGGAAAAAGAAAAGAAATAAATTGTTGTCAAATGTTCAAGTTTAAATACTTGGTTAGGGCTGGATTTAAAAGAACAGCTTCGTGTTGAACTTTTTAGATGCTAAACAGCTACATGGTGATCTGAATGATCATGATGTTGGAGCTGCTCCCTGCTGTTTCTGCAAAAAAAAGAATAAAACATGAAGTCGACATCCAAAGGTAACCTAATCCTCAGAGCAGAGGTAGACTTACGGTGTGGGCTATTGGTGACCAAAACCGGAACCTTTATCATATTTTCAGCTGCTGTATCTCGCTTTCACATTGCAGGATGTCAAATGAGTCAAACCTTTTTCAAAAACCTGTTCCACCTGTTGGTCTGTACCGAGAACCGCCGAAGGAAACGACATGAAAACCTTTGAGGTGCAACTTTGTTCTTCACAAAATATTAACAAAAATGTAATGGTTTATTTTAATTATGCAGAAATGCACAACCAGTTTCAGCTGTGTCAGTGGAAGACCAAGGTGTGTCTATTAAGACACTAGTCCTCACATTGCTGTGATCAAGCTCGCGTATGCGCTAATAAATGTGCTACTGGCAAAGAAACAACTTCCTTCTCCAGGAAAACTGTTTATCTACAGTCATTAGTGACCACGGTAACTGGCCTTGGGTATTTATGGTAGTCTTTCTTGTGGGGAACCACATAGAACAAAAGAGAGGGTCTGAGCAGCACATACACATGTGAGATTGCAGCACTAAGAATCTAATTCTGATTCTGATTGGTTGTTTCTGACCTAATGGTTTATTTCTGCAGATGCCTCTGGGGATGGCAGAGGAGATGTTTACAGATCATATGTCTAGTATTACACTGTCACAGCAACTTTTCAAAAGGTTCTCATATCATTCTGACTTTTTGAGACTAAAATAAGAACACAGTTATCAGAGAACACAATTACTGTCCTGTTCTGTCTGGAAACCCAGAGCGACGCAAGAATAAAGACTGACCAGATGGTCCTGTCTGCAGACCGGTCACTGTAAGTTGTTAACTTGTAAGATGTCATTAATCCTAAAATCTACAATCATTGGGAGTCTAATCTTCCCTGATCCAGGCCACGCAACAGATTCTGAAATACCACAACAATTTTCCAAGCTTTCGTGGAACGAAGTCGGGACCAGCTGAGCCTTTCAGCTCAGCCACCGGTTTGATCAACACAGGCCCGTCGTAAACAAACCGAGGCAGGGAAGCGTTTCGGGCTCAGCTGTTCGCCACCTACCGAGCGCCGCTCAGAGATCAGAGAGGGAGTTTGTTCCAACGCTGCTGCATGAACTCGCCGTGTTGTTCAATCACACAGCAAAAGACAGACAAAGTGATCACAAGCCAAGGATGTTACCCCCATCTCTCCCGGCTCCCCCTTTCTCCTTCGCATGCATTACATATCATTTGCAGACACATGGCTAAACACACACACACACAAACACACACACACACACACGCACGCACGCTTCCAGCAGGAGCTCCTTCGGGGGCTTAGATGTGACAGGCAGCTGTCAGAGTCCCAGACACTGTTTCACACATGTTGCCTCCAACAAACACTCCCCGACACTACGACGACCCCTGCTTCCTCATAACACCCCCCCCACCCCCCACCCTGCTCTTACATTAAAACATTATTTCTTCCCTCAGACTGTTTTCACTCCCAAATGAAGAAAGACTGAGTAGTTGGTTATTTCCATGGAGTTATGCGTTGCAGTCAGGCTATAATTCACCGGAGCTTACACTTAATTGGAAGGTTTTTTTTTGGCCCCGAGCCGCAACTTATTCATCCAGCATCGATAAAGGGACTCAAAGAATGATGACGCTTTAAATAGCCCAAGACAAAAGCAACAGAAGCAGGGCTTTGATTATTTTCTAAAGTCGCAGCACCTTGGGGAAAATAGAAGAACAACACTCTGAGAAAGAACAATTCAAAGCCTCGCTGGTCGTCTTCAACATCTGTGTGGTCTTGCTTGAAAATAAAATGTCCTTTTCAGATTTAGGCGAGTAAGAGCTCTCTGAAAGACGAACCGATCAAATACAAACGCGCGAAAGCTCAGACCTGAAGGTTACAATGGAGTCCGTCTCGTTTTCTCTCTCGCTCTGTGAGCATTGGGATCTCTCTGGACGCACACGGTTTCAATCGAGAGTAGGATCAGAGGATTCATTTGGATCACGGACTGAACCGACGCTTCTGCGTTGCCTGGACACGCGTGTGTTCACAGTCGGCGTGCTATTCCGTATGTCGTTTACGATCCTGGAGGTAAAGTTCAACTCGGGTTATGAGAGCATCTGTCAGGCAGAAGATTTTTGGGCGGGGAAACTAAATCCTAAAATTTAAGCATTCAGCTGTCTCTCTAGCATTCTCCTGTCATCTGCTCCTTGAAGCCAGATTGGCAGAGAAGTTGAACAAAATCGCCTCAGTCAGATATCAGACAGCATGCAATAACTCATATTAGTCACAGTGCATTACAAATCAACAAGTGGAAAACAGAGAAGATGCAACATTCTCCATATATTTGTCCTGCCTAAAATCTCCCAAAACCTTTCAAGCATTACCCTCCGCTTGTTGCCATCACAAAATGTGTCACAAAAATAAAACAGACAGACATAAGATATAAGTGATATAAGCAGCAGGCTTATGGGAGAACGCGTCATGCTCTGATCAAACCAAACTTGAACTTTTTGGCCACAATCTAAGATTTGTTTGACACATGGCAACGAGAATCGACCATCCTGCCCACAGACTGTCACTTCCAACCTTCCACAGTGACTTTGAGTTCGCTGGGATTTTCTGCACAAGGTTCACACTTAATTGCATCACTTACCCAAGAATTTAAATGTGTTAATAGCTGGAAATCTTTATTTCACCTCATCTCTTCTGACAGGCAAAACGGGTTTCATTTGAAACCTTTTTTTTTTGTTTTGTTTTTTTTTACCCCCCTTGAACAGACACATTAATGTTAAGGGCATTTCCTGAAAAACAGCACGACGCCACTGTTTATATAGTCTGGACAGCAGCCGACTGAAAGCCTCTGCCTCAGTTTAAGCTCCTGACCTCAATTGCATGTTTGCCTTCAAGGAATGCAAACAGGAAGCTCCACACACCAGAACACGCAGGAGTTAAAACCAGATCTACTTTTTCTCTCGCCAGCCGGCTGAGATCTACCTCATGACACGAAGACTTAAAAACTGCAAACTGAACTCCACTGACTTATTTTCTATGCGGATATGCATCGGTTATAGCAGAAATAATGACGTGATAGAAAACCTGACGCACGACTCTTTACCGTAGAAGAATCTCGGACATCCCGTTTTGCAGACACACCTGGCGCACATTCATCTTCTTCCATGTAGATGCATTTCAATCCAGAGAGCAAATTGAATTCTCCGGGTACGTAGGATTAATCGGAATTAAACTGCAGCCGCGTCGCCTCCTTTTAATTCATTTGGCAACGGCTGAAGGTTTGGATTCTAAATGAAAGTTCCCTGGTATTAATGGAGGCCCCCGCTTCTTCCTTCCCTAGGTGCAGTCGCTCGATGACGCAGCACGAGAGCGGTGGAGATAAAAAGCCTTCCTTCCTGATCACAGAAGTGCGTCACCGCTAATTGATTATCCTTTTATGATTTCAGGAAGACGAGCGTCTGCGTTAGTGGCTGCCGTCTGAAACATGGCAACCTGAGAGGATCGCTCGCGCACACAAACAAGTGACGGAATGAAATGGAATACTTACGTGAGCGTCCAACTGCGATGGAGTGATGTGAGAGGAGGCGATGGGGGTGGAGGAGGGGGAGGGAGAGAACATTGAATGAAATGAGAACTTTCACACCCATCGCTCCTGACTCGCGCCCAGCTCATTAGAAACTCAAGAATTCGATATATTTTCATGTAACCGCAACCCTCTTCAGTGAGGAAGAGTCTGCCGGGGGGGGGGGAAGAAGATTAAAAGTGAGTTATTTTTACCATAAGTAAGTGGAGACATAATTCATACAGTTTGAAAGAAACTTTTCTGCAAAAGTAGAACAAATATGTTCCTATGACAGATTTGATCTGTTTTTGCAAGAGAGAGTGAGAATTACAGCAGATAACAGGAAGGCTAAACATAGCATAGCCAAGTTTTTTTTATTTTTTTTTTGTCAGACTATTGTAGATCAGATAAGTGGACAATATTTATTTTTCGTGTAGGTATAAACCAATTGATGATCTGCAATCTCCCAAACTTAAGGAAATTGATGCAGATTTATCCATCCATCTATCCATGGACGCTGTATGACAGTAACAAGCAAATTTATTGAGTTAAAAGTTGAAACGATTATCGACGTGACCGAACTTAAAACAATGACTCTAGTAAAGCTGAACAGCTAATCCTAAAAGAAAGAAACAGGGGAACAGGTAGTAGGATGAGTGATGATTCAAATGAAGACACAGGTGGAGATAAGAGGAGACATTCTGATCGGTGGTTTCACTCTGTGTGCGTTCATTTGCGTTCTGTGTGTGTGAGGGGGCGAGTTCCCTCTTGCACCCAATGCTCCCAGCTACAACAATCAACCCACAATCAATTTCCATTTGCCTAAAAGCAGCTGCTGGGAAACGTCTGCTAGTTAAATGTTCACTTCTGCACCAGTGTGTGTTTCGGCACTGCTCTGATTGTCAAAGCATTCTTGAAGTTATCATAATGGAGTGTATTGACATGTCTATCAGTCCGTTCTGTGGGTAGAGGCTGGTGTCTGTACCGAGTAAAAAAAAAAAAAAACACTAAATATTCTCTTTTATCATAGCAAATGACAGATTCCTCATCCGCTCGCTTCTCTTCAAGGGACCGCCTTTATTCTCAGGCAATTTCGCTGCTTTTTGATCTTAGTTGTTTCTCCACAGGGATGTCGAGTCGAGGCTTGAAAGAACCTTAAAATCCATTTTTTTTCCTCTTTATCTCCCTTTCAGCCGAACTTAACAATGCGTAACCAGTGAAATAACGTAGGGTGTTTTCATTGGCGACTTGCTATTAACTTAACTTTGAACATGTTTGCAACTTGACAGACTGAAACACTGCTTTGCAAGGCTTTTAAGAATTCATAACAAAATGATCAAAACGATCAGTTTATTCGCGATGTCCGATTGGCCAGCTGCTTGAGAAGATTTTCCAACTAACAACTGCGGTGATGTTTTTACGAAAGAGAAACACGGTGAATTGGAAACTGGCGGAACACCCATCTGGCTTTCAAAAGCAAAGCTGGGTTCTGTTATTGCCGTGAAGTCCATTCAAGCTGAATGGACTCGTCACACAAAGTCAGTACAGACTGAGCAATTTGGTCACAATTACAAAAAGCGGGCGTGAAGGCGCGACCTTCAAATGAATGAAAGCCGTCTGCCAAACATGGGGCAAACAACCATTTACACACACGCACACACGCTTAATGACAACTAAAAGAGACCAATTGACCTAAAAATCATGTTTTTCAAATTCTGCCAAGAAGAACACTCCAGTATTCAGTGTTTTTTTTTTTTTGCCGATGCCTGCAAAAAACATACGTTTGTGGTGCAACTTGCTGAGGGACATTTACGAAAGCTTAGTGCAAGTGTATCGTATCTATATTTTGGGGCCTGAAAGTAGAATTTTGACCCATTTTGAAGTAGATCATATTGTGCTCTCAGCTCTATATTAAAGAAACCACTGATGCTGTATGATAGTAAACTTCTGTCCCGGGAAAAAGAGCCATGTATGCAGGTTTTTAATGTCATTATGTGGACATTCAAGCCCACAATGACTGAGTGTAAACTTTCATTTAGAACTTCCTCTTATGTTATAGGTTGGCATGTTCTTTTTTTGTGCTTGTCAAAGAAATCCAGCAGTATGTGCATGGGTCTTTACCGTGTACGTGGAGGGTCCCAGAGGCCTCCGCTTTGCCCACGCTGTTCTCTGAAACACAGGTGTAGGTGCCCTCATCCTCGGCTCGCACCTGGCTCAGACGGAGGCTGTTGTCGCCGCGGATCTCAAACCTGCAGAGACACACCAACACCAGGATGACTGCCCAGGAAATCCAAGTGAAAAGTTGCCTGCAAGCGTGAGCTTCCCTTCATGCATTCATACATAATATCTGAATGCGAGATGAGTTTTTGAAGTGCTGGTGTTGTGTTTTTCTTTGTACCTGCCCCGGGGCAACTCTCCCTCTTCCCTCCGCCAGCGGACAGTCGGGGTGGGATCTCCATGTACCTCGCAGAAGAACTCCACCGTGTCATCGGCCAACACCACCTGGTTCACTGGTTGTTTGGTGAAGACAGGCCTCTCTGAAATCAGACAGCTGCTTAGATCTGCTGCACCCGGACTTGGTGGTGATAAACCCAAACACTTCAATGAAAACGTATTCTGCAGGAATATAGTCTCTGCTGAATAACATAGTAAGTTTTTTTTTTAAATATTATTTTTCTGAGTCTCAAATCCTCAATACTTCTCGAGGAAACAAAACATCTAAAATGGTTCCTGCGATTAGTCATTGGCGCCAGAGCAAAATTTGTGAATGTCCTTATAAATTAAAGGTCGTTGTTCTCAGCAGACTGTAATAGATTGTTTCGTATCCAGGGCGCGCGCCGTTTGTGGCCCATCGACTGGTGAGGAGAAGCAACAGCTCCCCTGTGATCCTGTAATGACTACACATGTAAAGAAAAAAAAGATCCGTGCAATTTGCCAACAATTTTAAACGGAAAATAAAGTTCGTTATCTCAACAGAGAACCTGACATTCGAGCATTTGTGGAGAACAGAAGTGGAGCCAGCAGGCATTTAAACCCCTGCATGCCTGGTTGGACTCAGACGTGGGAGATGCAAGAGAATTTCAGGGGATGAGAACTTAAGTGGGAACTGTGGTGGGGAAACAAGCAGGTTCATGCAAACAGTTCCCCGCTGACATTTTGTACACAGATGGAATTATTTATCACAACCCACTGCACAACCCATGATAACCAATGCTGTGTGAGCCGTGTGAGTAGAAGAAGAGTCTGGGAAGTCAATATGCAACCTGATTAGGTTTTAATCGGTTTTATTCTTCAAGTTTGTGCACACCGAGAATGAATTTGACCCCAGTTCAGCTTTACCGTCAATGAATACATTTAAAATAAACATATATTTATTTTAAAAATAAATAAATAAAAATGATTCTTTTTTTTCTATCTTGTAAACATCCAGTGTTTTTTTGTTTGTTTTTTTCTTACATTAGAGGAAGATGAGGTTGAATCTATGGCTGCTGGTTCGTGCAAAAGCGCTCGGTAGCACCGACATGGAGGGAGTAGTTGAAAAAGTTTGTGTCCTGGATGTGTGGGGTCTGCAGACGTGTTAGCTGTCCCCATTCCTGACGCCAACGATGCTGGACTTGAAGAATTCTTGAGTTTTTCGCCATCATAACATCAGTGAGCACATCATGACGTGTTCAATGGATTGTGCAGCAGCATACATAAACAATGACTTTACATGTGTGGTCTATATCACATATGTCCCAAATCGAATGGATTTCTTAAATATGAAGCAAGAATCAATGACAAATCGCTATCAGCTATTTTTCTAATAATTGTACCATCATCCTCCGATTATTTTGAAGGCATTTGACTCTTAGGGGAAACAACACATCTAAGTGAAGATTCTATGACCTGTTAGTCTCTTGAATCCATTAGGTTTATATTAAATACACCTAATGAGACATATGCACCCTGCAAGCTCTCATAACGATCATGATTGCTGTGAAAAAAAATTGTGACAGCCTGGAAAACACAAAAGTGTTACTGTTGCAATAAAGTGTATGAGGAGAACAGTGGCTGGTTATGTGTTCTCCACGATCGATATACATTGTGAGAAAGCTGCAGTCCCACTGAGCCGAAAGTCAGACAGGAGGAAAAGAAGAGGGGTCAAAAGGGCAACTGGGAGGGAAAGATCGATGTTCCACTCCAACAGCTGGCAAAGAAAGGGAAGTGGGTATAAAACAAAAAACCTCCACAGGGACACCAAGAGAAGATCCTCAACAAACTAATGTGAAATGAAAAAAAAAAAAAGAGGAACTGAATTCAGTGTGCTGTGATACGATCCATTGGAAAATAACTCACCAAATACGACGAGCTCAGCTGGATCGCTGTCTTTCTCGCCAACCATGTTTGTTCCCACGCACACGTACATGCCAGCATCGCTCTTTCTGGTGTTCGAAATCATCAGCTTTCCTCCTCGGATCTGAAAGCGACGCGAGTGAAGGAGGGAGGCGGTGGGAGAGACGAGCGGAAGGACATACGTGAGGACGAATGGAGAAGAGGTGGAAAACATTGAGACGGTCAGTCACGTTCAGTGTGTGGTGTGACAGATGGCTCCCTCTGCTAAGGCTTCCATGATTAAGGCTTCCATGATTCCAGCTCCAAGCTGATCACCAGGGAAATACTTTGCTTTGACGTTGTGCTGTGTTTATGCACAAGATTCCAAATCATTTGTTTCAGTCCTGACCCCAAGTGTTTGTTCCTAGGGAACAAACACACGGTTGAAACACAACTTTCAACCGTGCCGGTAGAAGGCTTGTGATTCGACTGGTCGCCTATGAACTTCTCTGTATAATAAAACATTCTACGGTGAAAGACGTCGTCAAAGAGCAGGTCTTGGTTTCGACACATAAGAATAATTACATTGTGACTAATGCCTGATTCGCTCTGTAGATTTCAGAATTGTCAGCTGATTTTCCACACATGACGTTGAAATGTCACTGCTATAACAGGTTTGGCTGTACAGTGTGTGGTGTCAATCACACACTGTGGTGTGTTGCATTGGGAGCAACACACCACACACAACCTGATTTCACTCACCGACACGCAGATGAGAAATCTCGCAAAATCTCTTGATGCAAAACGGGAGTTCAGAGGAAATAAACATGGCCGATATTTTGTGGACTATGTTCAAAACACACACACACAAATAAAAATGAAATAAAATGCAAAGACATCTACAACGTCCACCGGTCTTTCTGGAGCAGCGTGGCATTTGTTCTGTTTTCTTTATTTAAAACTCCCCTCCCTGTCTGATTGGCTGTACTTAGGGAGCGCCACACGATGTTGCGATGCTGAAACAAAGCAATAAATCGAGTTGAATATCCCCGATTTTAGATCAGAGCGGTCCTGACGTCCTTCCAAGCGGACCGGATCACTCTGAACACATCACAACAGGAAGGATCTCTTAAGATTATCTTAAGAGCCATCCTCACAATCATTGTCGGAAGAGGAGAATCGGCATAAAAATCTTTCTGAATAAATTAGGTATTAGTTTGTATTCACTCTATTATTGGACCCGGGCAAGACTTGGTAATTTTTGAATTAGGTCATGATATTTAAGAAGTGTTTATCATCCCGGATGCTGTCGTCAGCCTCATTAAAATCGCATCGTCGAGCGTTTTATGGTCTTGTCAGAGTAGAGCTGAAGTCTGCTTACAGTGATCCTTTCATCGCGATCGTTGACTCGGATGTTGTTTCTCTTCCAGGAGATGGTGGGTTCAGGATGGCCTCTGGGTGGGATGCACTCCATGACAGCGGGCTCGCCTGCAGCCACCACCACATCGCTGGGTGTCTGACGGAAGTCGTCTCTCAGGACTGGAGGCAGAAAAAGAGGATCAGATGCACGGTTAGAACGAGCGTCTATGTCGACGACGCCGGTCTTTTGTCCGCTGTGACGTGGAGGTCTTACAGAAACCCTGCATATTTGTGTTGATCAGGCTTTTCGACATGCACGATGTATACGGGAGTCTGTTACGTCTCCGCTCACTAGCACTTCCTGTCAAGAAGCTGAAAAGCACAAATCATGATGAGCCATCGTTGTTCAGACAGTACTTGACAGGACTGAATTGAAACACGGTGTGCATGTATCCCTGAGGTCTTCATTGCCTTCATATCATGAGTGTGGCATCCCAGCACATCAATAATGAAGGCTCCAGTTGCAGAGGCACACAATGCCCTGAATTATTCAGTCTGACCCAAACACACTCACACAGATACAGACACAAAGTCATCATCTAAACAAGCAAATTGAGTAAATCAATTTCATCAGCCACTGTAATTTACTTAGAATACAGAATTTCAGCTTGCATGCTTTCAGGGTAGGCGCTTACGAAACGTGAACATTATTTTTAGACCACAGAGTTGCTTTTTTTTTTAAATACCTCTTCAGTCGACATTGTGGGTCGTGCACTTCATATTTTAAGGGATCTCAGCTTGCAGATGTCCCTTACTTCAAAACAAGAGTCACAAACACAGATCCAGCCGCTATTAAGGAAGCACGACGGCTTGATTAAACAAAGCCACACGCCAACACCGCATAGCTGACTCTTCATGAGACTTTTAAAGCATTTTTGTTTGTAAGAGATTGTAGCACAAGATGTTACCGCACCGCTAGGTTTCACGCAATACAAGAGCCTCGTTAATTGGCGTCGGTGACTTCAGTTCTAGACTAAACATAGTTGAGAATGTTTGGACACCGTCGACCTCCTCTTTACTTTGACTTTACTGACGTTGCAGAAGGCCTCCGTCATCTCATCTCAACTAATATGCGCAGCGTCAAAGTTCTGCACTCGTGTTTTAACCAACATCCAATGTATATTTACTTGTCATAACCAGCTTTTCAGTGACATATGCATTCATCTTCAGTGTCAGAGTCTCTCTTTTAAAAAAAACATCACCCAATACGTCAGCTATGTCCTGATGATTATTGCAAAACTCTTGTAAGTTTTAAAATGAAAGTGACAAATGATGAATTTCGCCCATGGATCTCCTCATTGCTGATGAATCTTGAGGCTGACCTAGATATTACTGGCTTGTTTACCTTAAAAGCTTTAAGCCTACATCATAAATTAGCGGCTTTATTTGCACCGACAGCTGCTCACAGTCTTCTCCATATTCCAGCTAAATAAGCTGTCAAGTGCATCAGATCTCTGGGAGAGTACTCTTTAATGCACCGCATGTCCGTCTGACAGCTGAAAGTAACAGAATTAAAGCAATTTATTCCTGTTGCATAAAAGGTCTGCCTGTAAAACCTGGTAGATTTGCTTGGCAAAAGAAGAATTTCAGAAGCTAAAGTTTCCGGGAACGGCTCGTATCGTAGTTGAATTATTTCTTATCTTTTAGGATCAGACAGCATGTTCTTTGCACACGAAAAGATTGGCACAAAGCCCGCCTGATGCTTGATGTCTTATTGTCCTGTCTCACCGTGTTTAAAGTGGTGGAGCTGAAATTCCCCAAATTACTATAGAAAAACAAATTCAGCCGTAAGAACAACATGGTCCCATTATTAATGAAAGTGTCCAAAAGCACATCCAACTAGAGTACTTCTTGCTTCCGCCCTGGGATATCATTACAGAACTTTAATTTGAACAATGCAAAATATATATATATTTTTAAATCTTGGCATACGTCGGTGCCAGAAAGCGGTACATGAGTGAAATCTTTTTTGTCTAATCTGTGCGAATTATGTTTCATACCTACTGCCATCCATGGTAGAGTTTGATTAGGCTATTAATGACTGACAAAGGGAAAGGTTTCCTTAATTAATTAATTAATCAATTAATTAAGTAGATTCCAGAGAAGAAAAAAAAACTCATGTTTTGTTACAGGCAATAATTTTGGTTCTATTTCCTGAAATCTGCTTGATAAGGAACAAGGATCCAGATCAGCCGCGAGGCTCCCAGACTTCATGTGGAACGGCTCCTGTTGTCTGACTGGCAGAAGGAGCAGAAGTCTGCTGAAAGTTTCATGAAAAGAAATTCGCCAGAGTGCATGTCAAAGGAAAAACTCCTTTATCTCGTATAAATGTGGCCAGCAGTTCTTGCGTACTTTTTCTCTTTCCAAACTGACTCTAGGACAAAAAAAAACAAACAGATTCCTTAACTCCTGAAAAAGAAATGCATGGCTCATGTGCAACATTTCATTTGCAACTTGGAATTACACTACAGAAGAAGAAGCTGGAAAGGTTGTTTTCTGAGTTTTGTCTGGCTGCTTAAGTTGAAGTTCAGGAATTTTATTTACTGACAAATGCATAAAGAAAGACCATGCACTTTCTGTATGAGCAGAGATGAGTGTTTTGCTTTATGTGGAAGGTAAACAGAGAAATCGTTGGAACATTTTCAGCTCTGACGGGTGTTGGGTCTGTCAGAAACTCTAAATCTGATATTTTTCAGATCAGTGAGCACACATTTGTACACAGAAATAACCGATAGCAGGCCTCGCTACTGACATTCTTCAGTGTGGACGTTGGAGTGAGAAAGCAATGCAGAGCAGGTTTTCTTTCAGAGATAATAGAAAGGCTCAGCAGAACACGACTATTGTAAATGTTGTTGTTTTGGATTTTATGGTCGGCGGCTTTTTGGAAATTTCAAAGTTAAGTTGAGAACGTCCTCCATGGAGAAACTGTGCTTTAGATGATGCCAACTGTGCGCCTGAAATGTCACCGTCACAATAATTTTGTCTTCAAATGGCGCAGCCTTCTTTTACAGCCACTGCTCTCTCAGAAAGTGGTGCAAATATACCTAAAAGCAGCCATTAATCAATAAGGCGTCTAGGAAACACACCTGGATTCCATCGACGTCGGCAGGTCGACGTCTCACAAAGCCGAACGTCTGAAACCAGCCACACATCATAACTTCACTGACAAGAATGTCAAAAGTCGCATCCTAGATTCAAGTCACGTAAACACACAACGCAGTTTGTTTATAGCGCTAATCAGAGTCTGGTCATTAGCTGAGTATTTGTGTGGATTATTATTACGCTAACAGGACCCAAACTGCGATGAAAGCTGACGGGTCATAAAATGTGGACGATGCTCAGGCTTCAGGACGCAAACATGTCGCTGCGATGTAACGATGTCACAGAGGAGGCCAACGGCTCACAGGCCCAGTTCATTATCCATCCATCCATCCATCCATCCATCCATCCATCCATCCATCCATCCATCCATCCATCCATCCATCCATCCATCCATCCATCCATCCATCCATCCATCCATCCATCCATCCATCCATCCATCCATCCATCCATCCATCCATCCATCCATCCATCCATCCATCCATCCATCCATCCTTGTGAGAACATATAGTTCTCTAACACATCTAGCTATTTCAGGTACATAAATTTCTTTAAAAGCTAGAGAACTATTTTTTCTGTTTTCAAGATAAAACTGCTTTGTTGGAGGTAGTGAGTGTGCGTGTGTGGGTGTGTGCGTGTGTGCGTGCTTGTCTGTGTCTGTGTCATGGGGTAAAACAACATATTCTGTTTGGAATCATGAAAGAAGGACATATTAACACTTGAGAAAGGAAGAAAATGCCCCCATATTCAAACAGCCTGCTTGTCAAAGACGCCTGTCCTTCCAAGTCTTTGTTGGCCCCTGAGCCACTTTGCCGTCGTGTGTTTTGTACCTGTGTGTCTGCGAGGGATAAACTGGCTGATTGTGGGTTTAGTCGGACCCATACAGTGACGGCCAATTACTTTGCACGGCGCATCAGGGGCACACTGAATCCCACTGGCCCCCTGCGATCTCAGAATGATATGCAGAACCACACCCCTGACCTTTTTCATACCTATCACTGACATTTTGCTCAGTCACAATTCACATAGATTAAGCAGAATCGAAGTAAATTGTCCAGGATCGTGTCCCATCACGCAGCGTGAGGGTGGAAATGGGACAGCTGAGGGAACCCCCCCCCAGCAGGTTTAAATTAGCATGCGTTGAGGTTAAAGGACTGCTGTCATGACCTGTCACACAATATTCTGAATTCGTGGCTCTGGGGGAGTCTGATCGTTTTCTCTCTGGCCCCCGGCCTTCCCCAGATCTGAGCAAGAAAAAGGACTCGAAAAGTTTATTAGATACTCACAATTACCCATGAGGCCCTTTGGGGCCCATATTAAGTGGGTGCACTTTGACCTTTTCTTTAAACCCCTTCAACAAAGCCAGAGTAATCTGCACCACTGGGGCTGAACTGCGTTCTTTAATCAAAGCGCAGGCTCCGAGTAGAGCCCACGGGGTATAAGATAAGGAGGACCAGCAGAGAGCTGCTGACTTCTGGTTTCTCTTTAAGAAAAATAAAGAGTAACAAAAATACTTTTGCCATCCAATAAAAAATGTAACATATCTATTCGAAGGAAAACTATGATGTTCTTAAACACAACCCAGCGTTTAAAAAAAGTGTCATCCTGGTTATGAGACGGAGGCGCCTGTGAACGAAACCCAATTAACAAGAATTAGACTCAAGTTGCACATCTGCTCTGCCATATCGATATTAACTTTGTATCTTTTTTCATATTCTTTTTGTGCATATCTCAGAGTGAAAATGAACAAGCTGACAGCTTCTGTAGCAAATGCTGTGTTCTTTTCACAGGCTCTGCGCTTCTTCTGACCACAATTTTAAGCACCTCTGTGATACTCAAAAATAACAGAGTCCGTTTCACTCAGTGACGGCTTCCGCACCGATGACTATTAGCCATAAAACCCAAAACACATCCGCTTTGGCGTCCGATCCAAAGTCTTGAGATCAGGTCGGATGGTGCGTGCAGCAGTTAGGACGCGTTCAAGTCAGTGGGGAATTCGCAGTTCCACACGACTTGGTGTC